ATATCGATTATTGTTTGCATTTTGCCATGACTACACTAAATATTTCTTTCGGCAAGGCTGATGTATAAATTTTCCAGAATATATGAGATAATCCTGGACAATTCTTATTTTATGTTTGTCGAACTTTGACTATATAAATCAGGGATCTCTTTTGGACAAATTATTTTAGGAATATCTTTTAGAAGATCCACCTGGAAAAATACTAATGACTGAAAATATGGTGAATTTTTTCAAGAATATTTTGAAGAGCCTCTTTACAAGTATTGTTGATCTTTAGGATTTTTTGAAAGCCTTTTACAAAAACTTGTGGATTTTTATATCCTTTGTCATATGGTTAGAGAAGGTATACAAGGTGAGATAAAAAAACTGCATCAAAGTCAAAGGCCATAATTCCTATTTTTTTTTTTAACTTTTTTTGATTGAAACCAAATATGTCGGAAATAGCATCAAATCTTAGAATAAGTTTAGATTAGATCGAATTGGTCATCTTAGGCATGAATTACGGCCAATGAAACCGTTACACTCTTCCCGAATGCGGTATTTTGGACCATTCGCTTGCTTGAGGTGATCGACACTTTGGTATTTTTTTAGTGCCAACCTCGCTTTCCAAAATACTACAGACACAATGGTCCAACGGATTGGTATCCGTTGTAAGCTGAAAATGAAGCGAAAAACCTCATTTTGTAACCATCCTTGGGTGGCGCGTGCTGAGTGCGATGGTGCTGAGTCCTCTTGGAATGTCCAAGGTCTGCATCCAAAATGTTTGCGTTCCCAAGGCTTTAATATACCCTACAGAATATTTTCGCGACAATATTTGGCATTTATTCTAATGCCACGGTCGATTAATGCGAGTGGAGAGTGACCATCGGCTTTTATTGCTGCCCACACCATCACAATGGCCGGCAATTGAGTTATGGTGACCAACCGAAGGTGCACATTTGCAGCTGACCTCTTTGGCAAGTAAATACGATCATTTTGATTAGTTACAAACTGCTGGAAATCGAATGTTTTCTCATCGGAGAAAACCAAATTCGGCACTTAATAACTTTGGGCCAAGCGAAGCAACTCTTTAGCTCTTTTGAGTCTATTTTCTTTCTGTTGCAGTGTAAGTTCTTGCACTTTTTGGAATTTCAATGGCTTTATCCCGAACTCATTTTTCAATATTTGCCGAATGGAATATTGCGGTATGTTCAGCTTACGAGCCATTTTTCGGCCATTGCGGTTTCGATCAAGTCGCTTCTTTACTTTTCGAACCATTTCTGATTATGTTGCTGTTTTCTTCCGTCCACTTCCTTGACGTTGCAGTATCACGGTAACGAGCGATGGTACGAGACAAAAAAATTTATCCACATTTAAATGCTGGAGTGCTCTAATGATAGCCATTTGTGGTTTTCCAGCCACATTCACGCTTGAATTCCATCACGAATAACTTTTTTTTCTGGAAAATTCTCACCAAAATGCTTTTGTGCGCTTGTAAACAATATAAAGAGCTGTCACTGGAATAATTTTAACAGCTGCCGGGTGAGTGGCTTAGAAATGACAGCAATCTGAAGTTGGTTGAAGTTTTTTCATCACACCCTGTATTATAATTAAATGATCGAACATTGGATAAGGGTATAAATCTGTCGGCAAAACCTACTGATACTTTATAATTTGTTTAAGAATATTTTTATGGTCCTTCTTTGAAAATGTAGTTTTTTTAGATTTTTTGAATGATCTCTTCATGAAAGTCCCGATTTTTTCAGACAAAATTTGTAGACCCCTCTTCTTATAAAAATACGATTCTTATATATAAATACTACATAAATAAATACGATATATAAATTCTTATGGTATAAATCTACTAGCAAAACCGCCGATGCCTTCTAACTCTAATTTCTCTAATTATTGCAATCTTTGAATTAAAGAAGCTTGTGTAGTCCCCTGAAAACAGTCAACTTCAATCGCAACTTTAACCTACAAAATGTCTCATATCTGAAGCTTGGAATATTTATTACAATCATTGGACTATATACAAAATGTATATGCATGCTATACGGAGATACGCACTCAAACACACAAACACACAATCAAGTGCACATTATTACCCCAAAGAAACGTACTACGTTTATAGAGATGTTCTCATAAAATTGATATTACAACATTCAATATTTTCCTCCAGCAGCAGCAGCAGTGGCAGTAGCAGCATAGTAGACAATAACAACAACATCTGATGCTTCTTCTTCATCTTCTTGTTGCCCTGCGTAAAATCTTTGAAAGGCTATCGCTTAAAATATCTTCGCTCCCTTTTTGCGTACTCTACACCAAAGGTCATGATATTAGAAATTGGACTTGGCATGGTCGAACCCCTGTTCACCGTTACAAATGGCCAGCAATGACATTTCCATTTGCCATTTGGCTATTTGGTGTTCTCAAAATGGTTTAAGGGTAATTGGTGGTGTCATTTTTAAGGGTTTTGCGGACTACAAAAATTAATTGTGGTTTACTTTGTGTTTTTTTTTTTTTGTGGCGTCTGGCGTCTTAAAACTTTTGCCCAAGACATGATAGATGTATTTGAACACCGGTGTTATTGGTTTAAGTGAATCTCTCCAAAACTTAGGTAATTACATTTCATTGTAAATTATATTGTCATTTGAAAGTGAAAAGTTTTGCGAAGAGATAGATATTCGAAACTTTTTAATCCTATTAGCAAACTTGATTTGAATAGAAGTATTTTCATTATCAATAATGGACAGGTCATTGTTTTTCATTTGTTTTATAATTGTTTCGAGGAATAGTTGTCAGAAAAGTATTTGAGGAGCTTAAGGTTTTGGAATTGCTGGAAATGTACAAAGTATGTATTGGAAGAATGGGAGTTGTAGCAATGACACCAGGTATGATAAATACTAATACGATCACTAGCAAATAAAGAAGCGTATTGAAAATAGTCGACGGTGGCCCTTTAATTCACGCAAATTAAAGAAATACACATTGCCCTAACAACAATGGGACGTTTGCATAATATTTAGTTCGATATACTAGTAGCTACATACCACAATCGCAAATTTTGTGAGGGTTGTCCAAGAATGGCGCCCAAGTAGAACTGAGCCCGTACTAAGGTTTATAAATAATATTATAATAGGTATTTTTGTATAAAATTAATGGAACGCGTGGAGACCAACAATTGATGACCGACACTCAATGGTTGTCAAAATTAGAATATTAGCGTTTTTTAACCTTTTTATATCATCTACCATACATAGTATTAAGAATATATTAAGTTTGTCATTTTTAATGGAAAGGCATCGAACTTCATCTAACTTTCGAATTGATAGACCTTTATTATGTCAGCAATTTTTTATGAGAGTGAAAATACGGATTTATCGGTTCAGATTTTCGTATAGACTCCATAATAAGAACCCATATTAAGACATTCGATATTTTAATGAGTGTGGTCACTTTTTCCAACAGAATTGTTTGGTACAGGGCATTTTAAGTTCTATATAGAGTATATGTAGATCCTCGTTTTTCTTTAGCCCACATATAATACCTTCCGATATTCAACTGCAGGCCTCATTTTTAACGGAATTAATTAAAGTTTGGTATCTAAAACTCGTAATAGATTACAACTCCTATGACGGACAATTTTTTGACATAGGACCACAGTTTCTTCTAACGCCCCCTGTAGCGGAACATCCTGATATTCCGCACATTGATGATTCCACAATGATGTTTTAATTATTGTTGGTAAAAACTCGTAAAAGGTATAAACACCTGTGCAAAGATCTATCTCAGGAGGTTTAAGTATAGTCCCCATACAACGATACCACCCACTTTATGAGATTTTGCAAGCTCGTTCGAATATGGCATTTCAAATTTTTTTTTTAAGATTTTCCCTACTCATTATAGTGGGCGGTTTCAAATATTTGGTCTTAAGAAATTTTAACCAAATGGGAAAATCTCTACGACCTATGTAAGATTTATAATTAAGTTGAAAATTTGGAACGTTTTTTTCAGAAAGGAAAAAGGAGGAGGGACCGCTATATCAAATCTTTGAGCACCATTTGAGTTTGACAAAATTGTATACTATCTTCGAGAGCTATCTTTCTCATTAGCCACCAGGATGTAGGAGGCTTTTTAAGGGTCCTGGTTACTTTTTGCGGACAAGTGTTTTCAACTTGAACTTTCATTGGCAGAATTCAGCCTCACAATATATATTTTGTGTGGGTCCAGCATTTTGGAATAGAGCCGTATTAGCTCTAAATTTTTGGCATATGAAGGGTTCCAGCATCGTTTTTTCCAATAGAACAAATATGATTATATCGGAGCCTTTCAGAAAAAGTACTACTTCGGTTTCGGTTCAAAAGTGGCTCACATCGCCACCTGGAACACTACTTCACGATATAATATCAAATAATAGTTTTTTTCCCTTCCTTTATATAAAGTACTAATAGTTCCTCCGAAACTTCTTTTTACCTGGATTTTCAGAATCAAATCTTATTTTCTTCTTCCACAAATTGAACTTCGAACAACGTATTCCGTTGTTTATTGGAAGCTTCTTCGCTTTTAAAGTCATAAAAGTGCTTCCAAAAAAAAAAAAAAATAAATAAATAAATAAAATAAAATACTGAATACGTTCGAAGTATTCATCGGAATCGTATTTTGTATTCGGCAATCAGTAGCGAATAGTACCTTTCAATTTAAGCGATTTTAGAATTTTCAAGGAAAGCTGTGTATAATATCCAAACATTTTTAAAATCCTCTCTAAAAAAACCGTTCAAAATTATGACTTGTGTAAAATATAAATTTAGTCTTGGTATTCAATTTTTGTCACATTGCCAGGCTTATGTAACCTTGAAAAAGGATATATTTAAATGTAGAATACAAAACTATTCATACCCAACAATACCCATATTATTATTGCTGCTTGGAAAATTTTGAAATCAATACTCATTTCTGCCATTACTTTCATTTTTCTTTACAACTCGCAGCGGATCAAAATACGTACACTTCATTGACTGTGTCAGATTTTATGAAAGTTTCATTTCATTTCGTTTCTCTTCGAAATGAAATAAAATATTTAAAAAAAAGAAAAATATTTCCAAAACAATTTTTGTAAGTTCAAAGTTATTTTTGAGGTGAACCGAACAAAATTTACTTTAGAAAATTTTTTTGTTTCGTTCTTTGCAGCATCACATTTCAACATTGCTACCTTTCGGAATTCCATCAACGCTCTTACAATGTATTAAATGATATCCATCTTCTTCCTGCGGCCATGGCGAAACTTTTCCAACTCAATTTGTTGCAACCACAATACTTTGGCATAGGGTATTAAAAGTGTGCTACTGGCAGTTGTGGCAATACAGCGGTCAAGAACCAAACCGAGCGAACCGACCAACCGACCGACCGACCAAACAGCCAACCAGTGCCAGTCTTCATTTCAGTCCGGCACAACAAAGGAGAGGCACGAAAGAAGCTGATAGAGCCGTGGCACTGGGGTATTTGTAACATCAATTCCGAAGAAATATTGGCAAATAAAGAACAAAAGAAATGGAGCGAATGCAAGCAAGGCTTACTGCATTGAATATCACCGTTGTTGCCCTGATAAATACGCAAGCAAATTGAAGCTGAAAGCCCGAATGCTGTTTAAATAAAGGAAATGCAATTACAAGCGACTCAGTATTTTAACAAAGGCAGAGAGGCGCGGGTTGGCGTTGGAATAAACAAATATTTAATTGTCATTGTCTGATTGTTTGTGTCGCTAGTTTGGGTTTTGAAATTTGTCATAGCCAGAGTTACCTAGAGTTACAATGCAAGGGATATTCTTTGTCCAGCTTCGAGCAAACCAAATATTATCAAATTATACCACGTTAATTGTTTGATTTTATATTTTGAAATAGATTTACCATCCATCCATCCGTTAGTTAAATATTTATACCCTACAACACTATGTGTTGGGGGTATTATAAGTTTGATTGGGCCAAAAATTATGTAACACCTCGAAATATTGGTTTCCCACATAGGAAAGTATATATGGATCTTCCTAGCTCGCCGAGCTGAGTCGATCTAGCTATGTATGTCCGTCCGTCCGTCTGTCCGTCTGTCCGTCTGTCCGTCTGTCCATGTTAATTTGTAATCACTCTACAGGTCGCAATTATGGCCCGATCTTCACGAAATTTAGAATGTAGGTGGGGCTTGGACCAGAATAGAACCCTATTGCTTTTGGAGATGATCGCCAAATGTTTAGGGGTTGAAATGGACCAAATACTGAAAAAATGTCGGATTTTGCAGTAGCTATACAGGTCGCAATTTTAGACCAATCGACGCGAAATTTCGCATGTAGATAGAGTTTAGGGCGGGGAAGAAGCCTACTAATTTGGGTGGTCATCGGATAATATTTAGCGGGTAAAATATACCATATCTTTTGTGTTGAAAAAATCAAAATTTTTCATTAAACCGTGAATATTCTAAATCCCGGCGAAGTCACAAAGCCATCACAAGGTTACTTCTGACCTTTACATTGATGTTAACATCCAACAAATCGGATATATAGCAAAATATGTGCGATATATATGTCTATCAAAGGAGATATGCTTGAAAGATCTCTTATATGTCGAGAACGGCTGAACTGATTTCGACAGTTCTCATTAATTCAGAATGGCCTCTTGGCAGGAAAGAAAAAATGTCTAAAAAAATCGCATAAAAATATCTCTCTAAAGATGAAAATATTGATTTTGTAAAATTTTCTCATATTTTTTCAATTTTGTCATATTTTTGGCATATTTTCATTTTGAATTAAACATTTGGTAATATTTCTACAGCTAACAAAACTAAGTAGTTAGGATATCAGGATATTATATACAGATCTTATTTATGGCCCGATCCTTACGAAATTTTGCATGGGGTAAGATGAGGGTCAGAATAGAAGTCTACTCTTTTTGGAGATGATCGCCATATATTTAGGGGTTGAAATGGACCCAAAAAACTGCAAAATTGTCAGCAGGTCGTAATTATCGCCGATCCTCACGCACATTTGAATGGGGGTTACCGCACATTGCAAAAGCCAAGCAGTTTTGGATGGCCATCCAAAAATATTCAATGTGTGAAGGAGTTTGCCAACTTTTGTAGACAAAATACGAAAATGTCCATTCCAGTGACTTTTTGGAGAATTCACAAATACAGGAAAGACGCACTTCCGACTATTTCGTTAATGTTGATTTCGTTGAAGAATATAGTCAAATGTCTGTATCTCATACAGATGCGTTTCAGTCAGAAGCCAATAATAAATGTTAATCTTTTGCCACTTCTGAGAGGTTATAGGTCTTTGGGAAATATTGGTTCCAGATCTAGGAAGACCATTTACGTGCAACATCTACCAATAAATTGGAAATGAGTAAATTAGTTTAAGTTGTTATTTTTCGAAAATTAGAGAACGAAACCTGATGGTTTTCTTTTATTATTTGTCGCAATATCTTGTGGAATTCTGTCGAGTATTTCGCCTATATAAACTGTATGGTTTATTATAGTGTTGTAGGGTATTCAACTGTCGGCCCCGCTCGACTGTAGCCTTTGCTTACTTGTTTCCATTCCGTTTTGTGTTGTTGTGTATGTTTGTGTTATGCATCCATGTGTGCGGAGCTATGTTTGAATGTTTGTGTTATAGTGCTGGCGTTACAAATCCGTTTAATTTTATTAGCCGTGTAGTTGAAAAACATAAGGATCTAATTGTTGGAAAATTAAATTTGTCCAATGAATTAAGGAAATATGTTACAATATTTATTTGTTATTGGAAATGTGGAGTTTTTGTATACGTTTGTGTTTGTATACAGGTATACGATGTATGTATGTAACATTAAATTTATATTCGATTTTCCCATTTGCGTCAAAATTTAAAAATTTTCGGATAATTTAATATTCAAATAAATCCGATTGTAAGAAATGCTCAAATAAGCATAAATTTACTTTTTCATAATTGATATAAGACTTTCAACTACATTTTTTAATAAATACTTCCTAGTGTCTGCTAATTTGTTAACATAAATTCCACATACTCTATCTTACAAATAGTTAAATTGGAAATTATGTCTCCACATTGTCATCCAATACTGGCAATACAGTATTTACTGCCACGTATGACTTTTTGTGTCCTTATAACAGGATTTTCCAAAAAAAAATCAAAAATTCCAGTTTACAAAACAAAGGCGGCAAATACAGGGTAATAAAAAACTGCAACCAATTTCAGACTGCTGTCATTTCTAAGCTACTCGTCCGACTGCTGTTAAAATAATTTCAGTGACAGCTCATTATATTGTTTACAAACGTACATAAGCATTTTGGTGAGAATTTTCCAGAAAAAAAAGTTATTCGTGATGGAATTCAAGCGTGATAGTGTGATTTCTTTATATTTGGCTGGAAAACCACAAGTGGCTATCGTTAGAGCACTCCAGCATTTGAATGTGAATAAATCTTTTGTGTCTCGCAACATCGCTCGTTATCGGAACGGAAGATAACAGCAACATCAGCAGAAATGGTTCGAAACGTAAAGAAGCGTCTTGATCGAAACCCGCGTCGCAGTGACCGATAAATGGCTCGTGGACTGAACATATCGCAATATTCCATTCGGCAAATATTGGAAAATGAGCTCGGGGTAAAGCCATTGAAATTCCAAAAAGTGCAAGAACTTACACCGCAACACCGCAAATAGATTTAAAGGAGCTAAAGAGTTGCTTCGCTTGGCCGAAAGTGGTGAACTGCCGAATTTGGTTTTTTCCGATGAGAAAACATGCGTTGTCCAGCAGTCTGTAAACAAGCAAATGATCGTGTTAAATTGCCAAAGAGGCCAGGTGGCAAATTCGGTTGGCCACCAGGACTCAAGCGACGGCCATATTGATGGTGTGGGCCGCCATAACAGCCGATGGCCGTGACATTAGAATAAATGACGAATATTATGGCGAAAATATTCTGTAGGGTGTATTAAAGCCTTGGGTACGCAAAGATTTTGGCCGGAGACCTTAAACATTCCAACAGGACTCAGCACCATCGCACTCAGCACACGCCACCCAAGAATGGTTACAAAATGAGGTTCCTCGCTTCGTTTCCAGTGCACAATGGCCACCAAAATCTCCGGAAATCAATCCGTTGGACTGTTGTGTCTGGAGTATTTTGGGGAGCAAGGTTAGCACTAAAAAAAAATACCAATGTGTCGATCACCTCAATTAAGCGCTTCGCCGGGAAAGGGCCAAAATACCGGTTTCATTGCCCTTTGAAGGCCATAATACGTGCCAAAGTGACCAATTCGAACTAATCTAAACTTATTCTAAAATTTGATGCTATTTCCGACATTTTTTGCTTTCATTCAATAAAATTAAAAATTATGGCGTTTGACTTTGTTGCAGTTTTTCTCACCCTGTATAATATTTCAAATATATTTAATAGCTAATTCAAATACCTAATTTATATCAAAAAATTAATTGTTTATATACCCCAGAGTCATGCAAAGGTCCTTTGCAATTAGTGTTTCCCGTTCTTCATTATTTTAGAAGACCCTAAATTCTGTTTAATTTTTCGTTGGAAATGCTTCGATTGTGAACCAGATATGAACCAGATATGTTTTGTGTGTTTTTCAATTTCCCACATTTGCCTTTGGAATTAGTTTTTACAACATTGGCAGAGTGCAGATGATATGTTAAAAAAATAAGCATAATAGAGTTTGAATATGTGTTTTTGGAGGTTACTAGGCAACAACAACTATTACCCCAAATAAAAACACCATAAAAAACAGAATATTTGTTTTTGTTGTTGTTGTGTAACACCGTTCATTGAAATGGTAATGCAACAACATAGGGAACATTATCCCGGCAATGATGTCGGAAATAGAAATGTTTGCAAATGCTATGAGGATGTTGAACATCCATATGTATCGTTTTTTGGGAATATCCATTGCATATGTGTGTCCATATATATACATATCTATGTATATATATATATATATATATATATATATATATATATATATATATATATATATATATATATATATATATATATATATATATATATATATATATATATATATATATATATATATATATATATATATATATATATATATATATATATATATATATATATATATATATATATATATATATGTGTATGTGTTTCATGTGAGCAGAAATAGAAATGTTTGCAAATGCTATGAGGATGTTGAACATCCATATGTATCGTTTTTTGGGAATATCCATTGCATATGTGTGTCCATATATATACATATCTATGTATATATATATATATATATATATTATATATATATATATATATATATATATATATATATATATATATATATATATATATATATATATATATATATATATATATATATATATATATATATATATATATATATATGTGTATGTGTTTCATGTGAGCAGAATTGATTTTTTTGTTTGTGGAAGCTGCAAATATAGAAAATAATTACAAATTCTAATTCACATGGATATTGTTCACAACATGGCAATCATCATTGAAGTTAGTTATACTAAACAACAACAAAAACGACAGCAACTACTGATTTGCAAATATTGTCAATTCCGAAAACACAATTTGGTTGGATACACTAGCAGACACACAATCATGACGCGGCACAACTAAATATTCCAATTAATGTTGTATTTAAAACTTTTCTACCACAAGGCGTCATTGAAAATTTGAAAATATTTTTAATAATTATAAGAATATATGTGTGAACATATTTGGTGATTATTAAATTTTAAAAATAATTTGCAAAGGAATTGAGTGCCAAAAATTGCATGGGAAAAATTAAAATTTGACTGCTAAAGATCAAAAGAGAGGATGAAATTCGAGGAATTTTTTTAAACTTGTACTTGGCGATTTCATATTAGAAAGTTTTTGAG